CCTCCTTGGACAAATGCTTTTATACATTCACACCATATGGGGTCAAAACCTTTCATCCTTAAGGTTTGTCGTACCAACTCAAATTGTAATACCATCATATCAAAATATAAGGCATGCGTGTATTTTAAAAAATTTAGCTTCGTTATCTTTGATCAACAACTAGACTAATAGTACGAAAAGTTTGTGCTACAAATGTAGTTGCATTGTATTTGTATTTAGAAATACTCTCTAATGTTTAAACTTTTGCTGTCACAAATGTATGTTGTTAGAGAAGTTAGTAATTAAATTGTAATTTTGAAGAGTATACCAAGTCAACGGTATGCAGCAATGATGTGTCAAACCTCAAATTTTGGATGGGTAAGTTTCATCAATGTAAGAAACTGGATCCATTGAGTGACAAATTGATCACTTTCGTTCCCAACTGTAATCGCTTATGTTGAGGAGTCGAATGAACCTAATAGCAATTATGGTTCAAGATAGCGTAATCTTATGCACGGGACAAATTAGGGTCCGTTTGCTGCTTTGTAGGCTGCTACGGCTGCAGCTGCTGCAAATGAATATCTGCACCATATTGTTTCTTGTGCACCTGCAGCCGGCGGTTCCGAACAAGGCGTCAAGGCGTAAGGTTTTTTTTATACGAAGATCAGAATTTAGCAAGTTTGTATATGAGTCTATATGGGCCTATGCAAACGCCGAATGGATTGTTGCTTGTTCTCTTTTGCCATATCAGCACTCGTTAATCCTTATGCCCGGTGGGCCCTCACGGCCCAATCCCAAAGTCCAGAAAAGGAAAAAAAATGCCGCGCCGGCCGTGCCACGGAACTCCCAAGCCCAAACAAAACCCCGCATCGCCTAGAAACCCACGTCGACGGCGACGACTTCTTCGACCCATTCCGCGCTATCCCCCTCCTTCCTCCCGCCTCCCGCCTCCCGCCAGGCGCCGGATCCACCACCCCATGGACCCCGCACGGGAGTCGCTCGCCGGAGGCGGTGTCCTCCAGCGCCGCGCCGCGGCCGCCTCGAGGAGCGGAGGGGGGCCACAGGACCCGCCTCCGCGCGGGCAGCCCGCCATCCACGCCGACGTCGACCCGCCGCCGCGGCCGTGGCCCTGGATGCAGAAGCTGGCCATCGTCGCCATCGTCGTGCTCGGGTGCCTCCAGTTCCTCCCGGCCACGCACTTCCGGGACCCCAACGACCCCCAGCGCAACTGGATTCGCATTGACGGCTCGCGGAATCCAACGGTACGGTACTGCGCGCCACGCTTTGTCTCACTCTCTGTGCGAGTGCTTTGTTTTCTTGAACTAGGAATCGCCGAAGCTATGTGCAGTGTATATTAATTAGATATTTGTTCACCAGAATGCTAGGCTTCCATTCCACAATATGCCTTTTGGTCTATGTAAATTTGGAAAACCTACAAACAAAAATTTAGCACAATTGCTGTAGAATTACGACCTTTTGGACACATATAACATTGTTTGCCGCAAAACTAGAACTATCTGTTGCAAAACTAGAGCTTTTTTTCAGGCAAAATTGAAAAGTTTAGTTCTACAGCGCACAATGTCAGGAAAGTACTCCGTATTAGAAGGGCAGGCCTGGTGCAGTGGTGAGAGCTGTCTCACTAAGTCACCAGGTCGTGGGTTCGAAGCAGTCTCTCCGCAGATTTTGCGGAGGAAAGGCTTGTCTCGGTTTATCCCTTCCCCAGACCACACTCATGTGGGAGCCTCCGGCGCTGGGTCTGCCCATGTTTCCAAAAGCTGTAGCTCTCTGTGGTGCTTATGTGAAAATAGTTGTAAGTGAAATTTAAGTGCATGTTCTCAAAGTTTGGACACTGAAGATGACATCTGGAAACAAAATAGCAACTTCGTTGTTAGTATTGGATCATTGAGGGTCTACAATCATGAATGTTTTGGTGTTAGGTTGCAATTCTGTATTGGGTTCTCTTTTCTACATGGCATGGCTTTGCGGTGACTGTAATTTCACTTGGTGTTTGGCATGCATGTTAGTCTGGGTTGATATGGGCTTTTGAAAAAGAGCTGAATTGACATTAGAAAAACAAATTTCTTAACAAACTACTGATTCTCCTGCAGGATTCTTTAAATTATGTTGGAAGTGTAGATGTCTTCTCTTGGATAAGCTGTCTGGATCTTCGCACTCTCGCTGTGCTGACAAATTCCACTCTGTCCAGCTCAAGGTTCTGTATCTTGTGTATTTCAGTAAGAAATGTGATCTTAGGACAATAAGATTTGATTATATAAAATCTTATCAGTTAATGTACAATCAGCTTATAGGTTATCTGATATGTGCGCTGCTAAGATTGAGGGGGAGAGAGAGCTGAGGGAGAGGCGTCGACGCTACAGTACCCGCGGCGCTACTGTTCACAGCGGCGGCGGCTAGGGCTGCAAGGGCGCTGGGGGAGGCCGGCCGCGGGGCTTCGCCCACGGCCGGCAAGAGAGAAGGGATTTCCTTCTAATCTCTTGCTTGATTAGATTGATACATCTTCTCTCCTTATATAGAGAGGTTTACTTGACTCCTAAGCAAGCGACTAATTAACCCTAACGGGCTAAGGCCCAATAGGCCCTTGACTCCTCTAACATTATCACGTGCAGGCCACTAGGGCCAATGAGATGGAGCAGCCATGGGCCATGCACAGCAGCATAGTTATTTGCAAACTACTAGCAATGCCACGGTCTGTTCATGCGCTTCTGGTGTTCATGGTTGCCCTAGGATTAGATATGATATTCATAAATAAGATTAGATTGAGTTGGTTCCTTGATTCTAGAGATTGGTCTCTCAAGAGTCAAATCACCCCGGACATAAGGATAGGATTATATCTCTTTTGGTTCAAAAAGAACTAGATCAAGAGTTCCTAATTCCTATCTCTGTCCTATGCCATTGTGGTGTGGCTGTCGGGCTTCGGCATGGTTGTGCTGCTTGAATTCATGGACATCTGAAGTATGCTCATGACAGAGATAATAATATTTTTTTTCTGCATGCCTATTTCAACTTTCCATGTCATGTTGGATAGTTTTTCATCTATGTTGTGCCAGTAATGATATAGAACTAAAATTCGATGAATAAATTATGTCACCAGCATAACTTTTTTCCCTCTTTGTTTGGCAGTGATCCACAAAATATATCTTTCCATTTCTTAATACCTGAAGGAGGCAACGATAAATCATCCTACCACAAGCTAAAAGTCTTGCTACCTGATTCAGATCTCACTGTTACTAGGTGAGCACACAAATTAGCATGACCTTTGTATCTTGTCATTGTGGCCATTCTCATATTTGTGCCCCTTGCAGTCAGAAGCAAATCAAGGACAAACTAAATGTTGCCACTCCAGAAGGAAACTTTCTTTGGTTATTCCACATGGAATTGTCACCCTTTCTTATTGCAAAATCTCAGTTGTCCAAAAAGAGATATGTTTATATCGCTGCAGACTCCATCATAAAGGTACCAGGCATCCACTCTATCTATTTACTCAAACCTATCACTGAAATCTTTTGATCTCCACCTCTCTTTCAAACAAAGCACCCATGGATATGAACAGTAACTCCAGATTTTAAAAGAAACTACTGAGATGCATAATCAAGAGTTTCTGGCAAATAATGGTTCTCACTGGCATTAGTGGTACTGTCAGATGATCAAACATTTTCAATCATAGCTTTAAAACAATAAGCGAAGCTGTTGAAAACCTTCAATTGATGCACTCAAAAGCAAAACTCCAACGACATGTTAGAACTTGGAAGTGAAAAAGTGTGCAAAACTAAGCATTTTATCAACAGTTTTGGATTACCTGCTGTGAAATGTCGATTTTTCCCCGTGCACAGGGTAAAGTAGAAGATCTTGGTCGCATGGATTTAGGCAGTTATGCCATCGGCGCTGGCGTAGATTGCAGCAAGCGTCTCAATGATTATATCAGCATGGATGTTCTTAGTGCCATACAAAGAGCAGGAGCTGCACACAGTTGGGTGCCTAAAGAACCTTATGACAAGGATGCATGCCTACTTGATTTTGACGTGCTCTTGATAGAGCCTCGCAAGCTGGAGAAAAACCTGGTTGCTTCCATCATGTGGTGGGTTAATGCCATTAATTTAGCCAATCAAAGGTAAGTTAAACTCATGATTTCTATTTCAGGTGTAATACGCTAATATCCAACACAAATGCACATCTTTGAATCATGTCAAAGTTTAGCCACTATATACTCACAACTGTCTTGGTCATGTTAAAATTCGATTCTATTTACAGGGACCAGATTTTGTTGGCCGTAACTCTGGCCTTCAATGATAAGTACATGAAGCTCCCTTCAAACTGGAAGCGCACAGATGGTGACACTGATATCCTCAACTTTGATGGACCCAAGAATGTTTGTTCTGAAGATGGACGTCAGCATGGGCAATCAGGCTACGGTGCAAACTGGCAGCAATACCTAAACCAGAAATTTGAAGCCATACTGAACACCTAAATAACGGCAGTTCACCGTACACAAATTTTCCGTTGTCATCGAGTGGAAGCTGACTTGAGACATTGATATTAACCTGTAAACCCTACATAGAATGCATATTTACTCCAAATACTGTATTTCCGCGTAGCGGAAGCATGCTTTCACTTCCGCATAACATTCAGGATACTCGAGAATTTTGGGTTTGCAGCTGACACGGGAAACTTTCCCTTATTCCAGTTCAGTTTAGTTTTTTTTCCCTACAGGTGGCCTAATTACCACGCCCATATGGGCAGATATTGTATGATAATTGTGCCGAACCATGCCATCTTGCCAACGCCCACTGGATCCAACAGTCCCCATTCCTGGTTGGCTTTGACAAGTGCGTTTGAATTGCGTCCAACTAAAAAAAAAATCCACTCCAATGTACCATGCTAAAAGATTTCATTGACATTAACCTGCCGGGCAAGGCAGTATTTCTACATCATTGATCATTACATAATTTATTTACATCTACATGACTACATTGCTACTTCCCGCATGCATCACACATTGTACGTCACAGGAAATCCCAGACAGGAATGGTGTACTGGCCTTGATCCGTGGTCTGGTGGCCCAGTTGAGGATTACTGCTAAGAAACTGGAGTGATTGAATGTCTGGAGGTGGAGCCTGCGGTAAGAAAGATTTGACTTGTCAGAAAATCCAGTAGCGCAATCCACTTGTTACAAGTTACAACTGGTATTTAATAAGTTCATACGACATTTTACTGATCTCAGCGATTTAAGTGACATCGAAATGCAAGTTTCCCTATATACAAACTTGTTCTGAAGGGGAATGTGCAGCGGCATTATCAATGCCGAGAAATATGTTAACTAGCAGAATTATGGGGCTCTCACAGATATGGAGTAGCATCCAACAGGAATTACCTGTGTAATTGGAGGACCACTATGAAAGGGTGGTGGTTGTAAATGAGACTGCTGAAGATGTGTTGATTCTTGAATCTAACGACATGTTAAATTGCAGCCCGTGAGGGAAAAAAGTATATAATTCTATTTTACTTCAACAAGTCATGATTTTCCAAGTTACCTGCCCAAATGGTGACATGCCTGGGAATCCTTGTAGAGAACCAAGACCAAACTGCTGTGCAACATAAGGGGCCTATATTTGCACAAGTATAATATACATCACGTCTGTTCCTCGATACATATGGGGAAAAAAAAGCAGAAAGGATACCAAATTTACCTGCATCATATGGCTTGGTGCAAGAAACTGATTTGTTGGAGTTCTTAAATGATTTTGGATATCATTTGACACTGCAGGAGGATCAACCCTGAGTGGAATTTCAATCTCCTCAGGTTCCAGCAGACCTGCAACAGGTTAATCCGATAAAGTACTGATCATATAAAATCGAATACCGGAGCAGTGCAGGTGATGAACAAACCTTGTCTACCCTTTTTCTTTTTGTTTGGATCAAGAGGACTTTGTTGCTGACGGCGCACCTCTGTATTTTTAATTTTCTTACCAGTTCCTCTGCGATGTTCACTGCTGCTGACCTCACTATTAAGCAGATTTGGCTGATTGCCTTTCAGGACAGCACTTAAGGAAGATTTATCATGCAACTTTGCTTGCAAAAGTACCTCCACTTGTTCAACAAGCTGTTCATATTGGCTCTCCAGGAATGCATAAGCTTCAACGCTTTCTGAAGCTTTTGCCGCAATTTTATACAAATTCCGGTATAATGTGTTGTACCGTTTTGACAATGAAAACTTGGGATCTTCATCTATGGCGGCAAAACCATAGTTCTCTGGAGATTCACTCTGAGCGTCTTTTCTCCATCTTTTCAGGATATAGTGTGGTGGAAGTTCTTTAATATTTCTGAGATCAAGAATTTTCAATACATGGCAACAAAGAAGACCCATGAATTCAAACTTCTTACAACTACAAACAACCATACATTCTGTTGAATCAAATCTAACAAATTGACCCCGAGGCCTGTCTTTGACAGTTACCTGGTACTCAGATATTGGTCCAATCTCGCCACAGCTATAGACCATGCACTTTGAGATCTGTTCATATTCCATCCTGAACATTTCAAAAAGTGTTGGAGTATATGAATTGGCAGCTTGCCAAAGCAGATGAAGTGGTGCTACTCTTTGTGCTATTTGAGCCCCAAGGTAGTCGGCTTGTTGTTCAGCTAGGCGTTTCTCCTCCAAAAACTTATCATAATTGTTGAAGAAGTTTTGAAGATCTATTTGTGGTTTAAGAAGATCTGTCAGGATGGTATCCGTGTTATCACTCCTTAGTGTGGTTGCAATATCAGCACAGAACGTATCATGCCCATATGGCAAAGCCCATCTTTCTCTATCCTCATACAATTTACAGAGCCATTCATTATCCTTTATATTGTATTTCTCTGAAAGGATTTCCCAGCTCGAATAGAAGTCATCCTCCTCACATTCATACAGCCACCTACTAAAATCTGATGCAAAAGTCTCCGAGCTTTGGAAGGTATCCCTCAATAACTCAGTAGCATTCAGATACAGATGCAGTAGTGAGAAGCGGTGGGTGGTCCCAGGCCAAGAAGAAGAAACTGCATCACTAAGTGCAGCAGACTGATCAGTCAAAACTGTTTTTGGTTGCTTTCCACTCATAGCAGATTTGAAGGTCTCAAACAACCATCTAAAGGATTGGACTGAGTCATCATAAATCAGCGCTGAACCAAATATTATCAGCTGCTTATGATGATTAACACCAGTAAATAACAGCAGAGGTCTCCCATAGTCACTTGTGCAATATCTTGTGTCAACACACACTACATCACCAAAGTAGTTATAATCCATTATTGATTTAGCATCAGCCCAGAACACGTTTGCAAACTGATCATCTTCATCTACTTGAATGGCGTAAAAGAAAGAAGGATTCTCGCCTTTCATCCTATGTAAATATTCACAGATGGCCTGGGTATCACCTAATTGCATATCTTTTGTATGTTTTGTCCTTGTGTAATTTTTATACTCATTTGGTATCAAAACAACTTTTGGTGGATCAGGAGGCTGTTGTACCTTTGCTAATAACTTTTGTGACTTCAAAATCTGAATGTCAATCAAGGGAGTTTCAAGATCATGATTATGATCAGCCACAAACTCAGTCACTACATATTTTGCACTTGCTGTGATCTTAATAGTCATGTGTGCCTGGCAACCAGTTCTTGTTTCTGGTCTTGGTTTCTTTAATTCGATAGAAGCACTTTTTGGACGAAATCCCTCCTTGGAACAAACATATGCTCGAGATTTTGTAACATTCTTTGCTGTTTTGTCCAACCAGCCTTTTCGGACACTGAACCCTGCAGTTCCAGCATAGTTGACATAGAATTCATAAGCCTTATCCTCATTCAGAAAAACCATCCCAACCTTTGGTTCTCCCCCAGGTCCAGGGACTACTTCAATTTCTGGATCTGGTTCTGCTTCCATTGTTTTGTCTTCTTTGCTCTCCGCCTGGACAAGGGGAAATCCTGAGTGTTTAATTGAATATAACATATGCAATTGAAGCTGTTCATAGGTTGTATTACTTAAAAAAATATTATTCTAGACTTTTCTGTTACTAAACAAAATTTAGACACTGCAAACTTAAGAGGCATCTCCTATGCAGCACCTGTAGATTCTGTCTAAAAAGAAAGTTACTCCCTCCATACTAAAAAATGAAGTCGTTTTGGATAGCGACACGGTCTCCAAAGCATAACTTTGACTACTTATTTTTATAAAGATATTTATCAAAAAGTGATATATGTAAATTTTTGTGAAAGTATTTTTCAAGACAAATCTATACATATGGTTTTCACATTTCCAAACTCAACAACTTAAAAGTTATTCATGATTTATATTCCCAATGTTTGACCCAAGCCTTGTCCAAAACGACTTCATTTTTTGAGTATGGAGTACACAACTAATGGGATGCTTGGTTCAAGGAATTAACCCATCCTTGATGGGATGGTCCACCATAGGAACATCCCATGAATTTTTGTAGGATCACCTTCAACTACACTAAGCATGTGCTTTTGAGGGATGAGGTGGTGATAGATCAATGCATGTGATTCCTTAAAGCAACCAAGTGGGTAGGTTGGAGTTAGGATACATCGCCACTTCTTCCTCAAACAAAATAAGTCTATACATCTCTACCGGATCTTACCTTCTCCATTTTGAGATTTTGCTTCTCAAGACGTTTGGAACGCCTTTCTGAAGGCAGCTGTGAAGGCTGCAGAGCACAAGAGTACGAGAACATAAGAATAACAAGATAATTGTCATATGAAAACTGTTCATTTGCAGTGAAAGTGGAAACCATAACAAATAAAAGGGAAGCAAGCTAGTGCCTACCAATTAAGAGAATTTCGACCAATTCATCAGATAAAACAATAACAAAGACCTGGCAGGTTAAGTTAATAGATTAGAAATATGTGAGCCTACAGCCACAGTAGCATAACCAGTTAGAAGTAACCCTCCAGAATTCAGATTTAGTAAATTAAGCAAAGGCCCAACAAGAAGAGTTACAAGATACATACTTTTTACACACAAGAGTAAAGGCACAACCAAAAAAAACCCGAGACTGGTAGAAGCATGCAAAGGGCCATGAAGATAACACCACTTTCTGTAGAAATGAACTGGTATGCAAATGAGGTAATCAGGTAACGGTACATATTTTCTTGCCACATAACAATATACAACACAGGAGGAGGGAGTAAATAGGAAACTAGAGTTGTGGCGGCAGGCCCTTGAGTCTAAAGGTTTTAGATTAAGCAGAACTAAAACCGAATACATGAGATGTGACTTTGTTGGAGCTACACAGGAGGGAGATGTGAGTTTGGAAGGTCAAGTAGTGCCTAAGAAGGATATCTTTTGTTATCTAGGATCAATGCTACAGAGGGATGGAGATATTGATGCGGACGTTAGCCATAGAATCAAAGCAGGGTGGATCAAGTGGCGACAAGCTTCTGGCATTCTTTGTAACAAGAGGGTACCATAAAAGCTAAAAGGCAAGTTTTATAGAACGGCGATTAGACCGGCTATGTTTTATAGAGCAGAATGTTGGCCTACAAAGATTCGACATGTTCAACAATTGAGTGTTGTAGAAATGCGTATGTTGCGATGGATTTGTGGTCACACAAGAATGGACCGAGTTAGGAACGATGATATACGTGACCGCTTAGGGGTGGCACCAATTGAAGAAAAGCTTGTCCAACATCGGTTGAGGTGGTTTGGCCATGTCCAAAGGCGACCTCCAGAGGCACCAGTGCATTGTGGAGTCCTAAGCCAAGCTAATAATGTGAGGAGGGGTAGAGATAGACCGAAATTGATATGGGGGGAGGCAATAAAAAAAGGTTTGAAAGCTTGGATATACCTAGAGATCTATGTTCGAATAGGAGTGCTTGGAAAGCAGCTATTGAAGTGCCTGAACTGTGACTAGGGGCCCTTGGTGGGTTTCAACTCTAGCCTACCCCAACTTGTTTGGGACTGACAGGCTTTGTTGTTGTTGTTGTTGTATAACAATATACAACACGTTCGGTTATCATTATTTACTTGCGTGAATATCATTAGGCATAGAGTTTGTGAAATTCACTTTGTTTAATGGATCAATAAAGCATGTAACCAATGTTGTAGCAACAATGCTAAGCATTCAAAATAGGCAACATGGTCAGAAAGTTACCAGCTGTTCTTCACTTGACAGAAATATACCTCCATCACCACGCTTACACCTTTCAGCCAAAGCTTGTCTTGAAGCAATCTAGAAGGACAGGAGTACGTGACACCATATGGGAGTAAGTGCTTGTAGGGAAAAGAGTGTGCCAACTATTTTAGTATGACTCTTGAACACATTGAAGTTTCTGATACATCTTTACATGTAAATGCTGATTATTGTCTAAAACAATTCAAGAGATACAAGAAAACTTCAGAGTCGTTTCATCCCAGTCCCTAGACATGTGGCATTCCTGACTTCCACACACTAGCCTTAAGCAGTGAAAGGAAGAAAAACCCATGCATTTCCATGGTGGCATGCCGTTGGCAAGCTTACAAATAGATAACTGTGAAGAGACACCTGACACCCCCCCCCCCCCCCCCACCCCCCCACCCCACCACCACCACCACAAAAAAAGAAAAACACCAACCCACAGAAGGGAAAGAAGAAAAGAAAAATCTACATCTGAGATCCTCTTGGGGACTCCATGCTATCAGACAGTTACATATCGTCTTAAATATTGTAAAGTTATATATCATAATATGGCATATTGCTTTGCATATAAGCATATAAACCTCTGCTCTTAACACTGGAATAAGATGTTTTCTTATTTAACTTCTTTCTTTTCGATTCAAAAGATTCACAAATATCAATGAGCCAAGTATTACAATTTCATCAGTTTCCACAATGGCTGCATACATTTTACTCTACAGTATATGTTATCACAATTTATAGTATGCTCATCACAACTGATAGCAAATCTAAGCTGTTTACCTTGGTAGGCCTGCTGGAGGCAGGTCTGCTCTGCCGTTTAGAGCGGTACTTATTGAGTATCTTCTTTCTCTCCTCGTTACTGTACTGCGATGCCCTTACACCAAGCTCCCTCAAGACGCGTGCCTGCAGCGCATCGTCCTCCATAACAGCCTTCCTTGGCCTCCCTCTCCCTCTCTTTTCCTTCACTTCCACCTCGACCTCCTCTTCCACTCCTTCCTGATCCTCCCCCCCTTCACCCTCTTCGCCGTCACCATCAGAAGCAGCAGAAACCTCTTCAGCTACCTCCTTCTCTGCCTCAAACCCAACAACAGACTCTTCACCATGCTCCACCGCGGCCTTCTTACTCCTACCCCTCCTGGAACGCTTCCCATTCTGCAGCTCTAGCCCATTCCCAGCACCACCCAACCCAACACCTTTCTCCACTTCAATCACAGGATTGCGGCTCCTAGTCTTATAAGGCTCCCTCTTCCTCTTCCCCGGAGCAGCAGCAGCAGAAGTTCCCTCCTCCACCACCTCCTCTGCCTCCTTCCCTGCATCCGAATCCTTCCCTTTACTCCTATTCGCATAATTGCCTTTCCAGCAGAGGAACCGCTGCAGGATCTTCTCGCCGTCGCCCACCGAGCGGCGGTTGGAGCCCATGCGCGCCTTGAACCCTAGCCGCTCGCCGTAGACATAATAGAACCCCTTGGCGTCGTCGACGGAGTCGAATTCCATCCCCACCGCCGGCACGGTCGCCGCGACATCCCCGGGGGCGACCTGCAGCTCGTGGCTGTGCTCCACCACCAGCTTGGTCACCTTCCACTTCCCGCCCGCCCCGTCCTTGGCCACCACCTCCATCATCGCCCTGCACCGCTCGCCCGGCTGCCCCACCGGCGAGGCCAGAGCGTCCTCCTCGTCAGCGTCGCCGGCCCGGGGCGGGGGATGCGGGCCCGTGGCCGCCCCCGCCGAAGCGGCCTCCTGCCCATCAGCGGCGGCGGGCTGGCGGAGCGGCGGGTCGGGCTCCGGCGGTGGAGGCGGCGGCGGGTCGGAGCTCGCCGCCTGTGCCCGCGCGGCGGCCCGATCGACCATGCGGGGTAGGGTTTGGGCGGGATTTGAAATGGCGCGCGTTTGCGCGGCAAGCGAGGCGTGCGGAGGGGAGGGGAGGGAGGAGGTGGGCGCGGGGTTTACGTTGCGATCGGAGGTGGGAGGGGAGATCGGGTGTGGGGAGGAGGCGTCTTGCCTTGGCTGCGGCGGCCGGCGAGAGTGGGATGCGGGAGAGGGCCGGGAGTGGGGGAGGGGCCTGTGGGGATCCGATGGGCGCGCGCCAGAGCTCCGCGCACCGGAGGTCTCTCAGTGTGATGTGGGCCTAGGAGCGTTGTGGCCCGCATGTCATGGTGAGCAGTGTCGTTGGCGATTGTGACGTTAGAAGGGCACCGATGGGGGTCGTGGCGGCCATTGGATGAGGGAAACAGTGCGGTGCCAGTGAGTGCGCGACGCGTGTGCCGTAGGCCCGTAGCGCGACGGCGCGAGCAAGCGGGGATGGAGTGTCAGGCTGTCTCCGACGTGAGACCCGCTTCGGCGCCCAAACAGGTCTTCAACAACACAGTACCTACCTATAGGGTTAAGACTTATTTTGAATAGGCATAACTTAAATCTAAGTATTCTTTCTCCTGGAGACTCGTTTGTAGAAAAGGTTGTCTTCTAGGTCTTGTTGTTGGAAAAGACCGAAAATAGATATTGAACCCTTTACATATAGCGTTACCCAAAGAAAAAATAGGTCTTTATTTTGGGTCGCGGTTGTTGGAGACCGTCTCAGTGAAAGAAAGGTGGGGGGTCTGTTTCGCACGTGCGGTTGGTGGCGTGTCAAGCTGGCGGTGAATAAGGTTATACAGTGCAGTTAGAGTGGTCAACGCACCGCTTCGCTTGGTCCACGTAGGAGGCTTATGGCGAGCTCTTGCTTGTTATGGTCCGGTTCGTTTCGCTGAAATTTGGCTACTCCTTGATGCTGATGTTGATTTGTTGCGATAGGAAAATATTGTTCATTTACTGAAAAGCGCTACTGAAGTAGTGCTAAAAAATAGGGCGTACATGTACTGGTAATTTGATATATAGCACCCACGCCTGCTGCGACTGTTTTCACGTGGGGCTCGCGATGCTCCATGTCTCGCGTCTGCACTGTTGCCCGTGCACTTCGTGTCCCACGCCCGCACCATGGCGCCCCTCTACACCCACGTACATGTGGGCGGGGCCAGCAGCTGCAGCAGGTGGATGCTGTAGATGGGTCATACTATAACATATGCAACATCAAGATTTACTTTAGCAACATCTAGATAAACACACTTGCAACATACGTCTGAAACAATTGAAACACTAGCAAGATACGTCTGAAACATCAGCAAAACACGTTTATAGTCATTGCAAAACATATGCAACATCCAGATAAAACACTTGCAACATACGTATAAAAATACCTGAAACACTTAAAACATACGCTTGCAACATGCATGTATATGCAACATCCAGATCTACTTTCGCAACATCCAGATTAAACACTTGCAACATACATCTGAAACAGATGAAACATATGTGACATACACTTGAAAACACCATTGTAACATGTGCAACGTCCCAATCTACTTTTGCGACATCGATATAAAACACTTGCAACCTACCTCTGAAACATTTGAAACACTTGAAATAGACGCTTGTAACATTTAGTTTCAGCGCAAACATCTTCCTTCTGCTTGGGAGAATGGATCCTCGTCGGTGTGTGGAGTTCCGTCCCGGTTGTCGCGGGCTGCACGCGAGCGAGTTCCACCCCGGCCATGGTGAACTAGGCGGGCGCGAGATGTGCGTGGGCGGGCTCCCGGTGAGCTGCACGTGGGCGAGCTCCACACCCGGACGCAGCGAGCTAGGCAGGCGGAGGTCTTTCTGGCCGTCGACTAGACGTCCGGCCCCCTGTAGTGGAGGTGGCAGTGGTCTCCCTCACCATGGGCATGCGGCGCATGCGCGCCAATGGAGCTTATGCGTACGCGGCTAGCAGCTGCACTCGACGCTCATGTGTATGCAGATGGCGGCGGCGCTCGTGCGGACGCGGGCGCTAGCAGAGCTCGTGCGCACGCGATTGAAGGACGGGCAATGCGGTGGAGCCGATGCGAATAGAGAAGATAAGATGTTGCTCTCCTTTTCTTTTATTTTTTATTTTTTGAAGAAACCGTGTATGCCGATGAGTGGTGCAAGCCTGTGGACCGATCCACAACCCAGCTAGCCACGTCCGGAGTGACCGACGCAGAATGGACGCCTGTGGTGGAGCATTAGCGATATGATATGGGATGGCTACCTAGTGCACTGATTCCTGATACGATCATTGCGACAGGATATTCTACATCAGACTATTACTCGTATTTATGTAATACTGCAATAAGCAATATTGCTCGAAATGTTCTCATGAGAATCATAGAGAAATGTTGTAGTTTTTTCACATACAAGAGAGTACACCGACATTTTAGATGTTTTACCAGCTGATTTCAGTTATTCTCATTTTCAGGTGTTTCAGCTTACTCTAGTCCTGTTCCAAAACGAGGCAGCGCTAGCCAAATAATTATATAAGTGATTGCCAAAGAAACAATTTTAGAGAGAATATGAAGTTAACACATTTACAGGGGGAATATACGAAACGAGCCTGATTCCCTGTGTGCCTAGCTGCAAAGGTTTTTGACATTTGTATAATAGCTAATGTCTTCTTAATATGTTATTAATAATGCTGCTAGTACGTACACGTAGCTGAATTATATGTAGTATTAGGCAGTAATCAGTAATGGAGTTGTTTTGTTTTCCTTTGCGAGTGAAGGCAGTAACTTTGAGATTGTATCCAACACCGAAATCAGCTTTGTCTAGTAATCTAACAGTTCGGTACTTCCCTCTAGTCGAGCACTTGAGCTAATTCTGTGCTTTAACTTGTGCGCTAACCGGAACTTATGCCTCTGCACTGATGGTAATAATTTAACACCTGCGGCAACGCAATGCAAACTGTAATCATTCTCAAGAATTTTCAAGAAGGCGAATACACACGAGAGATAGAGGTACTGTTCAATTATACAAGGCTTCATCCAGTTTCTTTAAGTACAACAGATCACTTGCATTGCTCCTACCAGCTCCTACACCAAAAGTCATCGATCTTTCCCCGCGTACGTACTGCCCAAGTGCCCAACTGCAGAACAATCAAGAACACAAGGCACATTAATCTTCCATTATAAGTTAGTAATCAACAATAAAAAAAACAAAGCTGTTCAAGAGCTAGCCATGGATCGGATCCGGCCTTGCCTCGCCAGCAGCGATGTGCAAGCAGAAGCAGGTGCAGCAGTTAGTAGTAGCCGACGTCCTTGTCATCGACGACGAGGTCTCCGTTGATGAGCTCGCGGTACGCCGCGACGGGCCAGATGAACCCCCTGGGGAGGAGGCGGGTGGCGAGCTCGACGTCGATGATAATCTCCCTCATGGCGGGCTTCTTCTCGCCGCTGATGGCGATGAGATAGCTCCTGCCGACCCACCCGATCCACCCGGCGATGTAGAGGAAGAGCAGGCCCGGGGTGATGAACTCGCCCCAGTGCCGCTGGTCGCCGCTGACGATGAGGTGGGGCAGGCCGTCGGCACCGCAGAGCAGCCCGAATTTGCCGTAGTTCTCGAACCGCCGCTTCGTCTTCTCGATGGTGGCGTTGATGGCGAGCGCCGGGGCGCTGTCGGGCGCGTACTTCTTCAGCGACGCCGTGAGCTTCTTGATCGAGTTCTTCTCGCGCTTCGCGAACGCCTTGGACTCCTTGCACGGGGTCAGGCCCGCGATGTCGGCGGCCGCGGGTGGTGGGGAGGTGGCGGCCGAGGACAGCAGCACCGACGACAGCGCCAGCGCGGCCGAGAACGTCTTCACGGAGGACGCGAGCGACACGCTGTTGGAGCTGCCGTTGCTGTCGCCGCCGGTGGAGGAGCAGGCCACGGAGAGGCGCGCGCGAGGGAGGCGCGGCTTGGCGGCGAAGGCGGCCGTGGAGGAGGCGGCGAGGGCGGCCATCTCTGCTTCTTCTGCTGCTGCTGCTGCGTCCGGCGTGGAGCTGGAGCTGGAGCTGGGAGAAAGAGACGAGCTTATTGGCAGGGTGTGCGGGGTGGAGCTTTGGGATCAGGAAGAAACGCGCTCGGGATAAGGAGGCGCGGCGCGAGTGGGTGAGACGGGGATAAGGGGGAGTGAGCTGGGCGCCGCGGATTGGCCCCGGGGCATCCGGCGTGGGCGCTCGGATTTTGTGGGGTCGCCGCCTGCTTTTGGGCTTGTGGCTGCGGCGAGGCTGCTGCGGCGGGGATTCGATTCCGGGGTTGGGTCGCGTGCTTTCCATCTGCTATATGGATGCTAAAGAAAAGTAAAGCTTGATTTTCAAGTTAGACCGTGTTACCGTCGACTCTAGTGTTAATTAATTGTTACCTGCAGGATCTGTCAGTACTACTTGTTAACACCAGTGCATCTAAACAACCTAGCCAATAGTCCAATTAATAGCTCAAAAATGAACTACCAAATAACTAATAAAAAAATGTTAATCGACTTTCCTAAGCTAAGTGCGACTAATAACTACTCCCTCCGTCCTAATTTATGTCATTTCAATATTTTTGAAGAGTCAAACCATCTCAAGTTTGATCAAATTTATATAATAAAATAATAACATTAATGATACCAAATAAGTATTATTAGATTCTTCATTTATTATATTTGCATAGTATGCATATTTGATTTCATAATTTTTGTAATTCAAAATATAATTTTGGTCAAACTTGATATGTTTTGACTCTCCAAGAAAGTTAGAATAACTTAAAATTTGGAATGAAGAGAGTATTAGATAAGATCGGCTCAACTAATAGGTTAACTAATATCCTTGCTAATAACCACTCCATCTATTTCAAGTTATAAGACGTTTGATTTATGTTTTTACACATAGTGTATATCTAAATGTCTAGAAAAAATTATTGTATTTAGAAAAGCTAAAACGTCTTATGATTTGGATTAGAGGGAGTATATTAGCATTAATAGATCCAAATATGTTCTAAGAGAGTTT